TATCAGATAGTCAACTAGTGATGCGACTATTTGCTCCCCCCTCCCTTGATGCCTCTATCAGAGTGAGGCAGCAAGTGGGGGGGGGGGGGGGGGAGCAGGAGCCAGTACTAGGGGGAGCTGGCTTAAAAGCTGGTTCCCCCCACTGTCTCCGCGGGGGGCAGGAGAGGTAGAAGCACAGTGGAAATGGTGCGAGCAGGGACTGAGTCTTTGCTCACACCGCTTCTGCTGTGAGTCTGCTTTTGAAATGTACAAGAGCCCCAGTGAGGCTCTTGTACATTTCAAAGGCTCAGACGTGGGGCCAGCAGGAGTACCCCGGTCGTCCCACACTCCTTGCAGGGCTTCTGCTTTTGAACTGTAGCAAGAGTCCAGTAGGGCTCTTGCTATAGGTCAACGACAGAGGTGCCCTCATAGACTAATCAAATTCAATTAATCTAAATTTAACTTGCCTAGTAAAGTGGTCAGAGGCTTGAAAATTACGAACAGAACCAAGCATACATACCATAGTTAAGAATTAGATACAAAGTACAGATTATGAATAACAATGAAGCCTATATTATGTTGTTGAATAGTTTTTTTTGTTACAGCTTTAGACCAACACTTTCAAATATGAGTGCCTATAATTGGTCATATCAAAATTGCCTGATTTCTTTTCAAAGTTGATGAGCTCCCAATTCTGATTGACTTTGATGTAGGCCTCTGCTTTTTAGGAGGATGTTTGAAAACTTTGACCTGAGTGATTTGTAACCTTGCATCAGGATGGCTTAGGACTAGTGTGGTTGGGATTTTCAAAAGCAGTTTGTAGTGGCCTAATTCTACTCACCACTCACGACTTACACTTTTTTTTAAATTCATATACCAGAAAAATGCAGCTGTATTTGCTGGGATTGTCAGTCCTCTATAGGCTTGAAAATGTTCTACTGAAAGCTGCTGTGTCTGCAACAGAGTTAACTTTAAAATTGCTGCACGTTTTTCATTGTGCAGAAAGGTTCAAAGTGCAACTGTGTGTTGAATGATTAACAAACTTGACAAAATATAAAACTTCATAGAAAACAGCACAGCTTGCTGTGGCCTAGTAAGGGATAAAGAATTAACAAATGCTGTAGAGGCGTGCTTAATATGGCTTTAAGAGTCCATTATGGTTCAGCTGTGCTTAAAACAACATGCTGTAGGACTGTGGGTGTCCGGACAACATATTGGACTATCAAATACAGCTCCAGAAACTGTGCTTTTTCAGCCTTTGCTACTGTACAGTGTGCCAAGCAGTCTGAAGAGAGTTCAGAAGTGTCGGTTGCAACCTATATGACCTTTGTACGGTCATGCTTTTCATACATTCAGTGGCTGCAGCACATGTGCTGTGGCAGGCTTGTGTGTCTAGGTTCTCTACCGCTCTTGCATCTACCTTACTTTTTGAAGGGAAAAGGAGGAAAAATGGTGAAATGTGAGAGTTGGAGTCTCTTTAAATCTAAGGCCTGTCTACTCTGTCTCCTATACTCACCCCTCCCCTGCACCCCCCAAAAAAGAAGACCCTTTGGCAGCAGATCTCAGTGCCTGGGTTGGCTGGCGTGAGCTCACCCTGCAGGACTGAAAATAGCCATGTAGACGTTTAGGCTCAATCTGGAATCTGGGCTCTGAGACCCTCCCTGGGTTTCAAAGCCTGGACTGCAGCCTGACGGAGAATGCCTGTGTTGCTATTTCTAGCCCCATCCTGCCAGTCTGGGTCAGTTGACCTGGGCTCTGAGATTTGCTGCCATCCTGTTGGGGATGGTATCTGTGCCACCAAGATTAAAGTGACAGGTGCTGTTCTTCTGGTGGGTCAATCGGCTGGGGGGGGGGGAACGACGACAACAAAAGGGTTCTTAAAGCAGAAAGCATGTTCCCCATGCACTCAGCTAACTCAGACAGCTCCATGGAGTCTGTTCGATCTGTCCAACCTCAGCCCAGCTCAGATCAAGATCAAGGAGAGGGCTCTGAAGGCACTAAGAGTACTTCCGGAGAGGACACTGGCATGTGTGCCACTAATAAATGGGTCTCTGCCTTACATGTTGATCAGGCCAGAATAGCCAATGGGGAAGTTCAAATTTCTACCCCTTTGGAGTTTTTTTCCCACCTTTCTTCTGCTTTGATGAGAGAGGTGCAAGGCATGGGGCTTCCTCTGTTCAGCCAGGCACAAGGTGGTTGTAGGCCCATGTACTGCAGCAATTGACCACTTAAATCCAATAAAGTCAATCCAGCTGAAGTGTGGTTATCAGTCCCCTGGGAATGTGGGCTAAGCCATTCACGGCTATTGAATGACTAGACTTAATCCCCAAACTCGTCCAAAGGTGACCCTAGCAGTCACCGTGGCTGCTTGCGGAGGGATGTGCTGTAGCTTCGGAGGGAGCTTATACAACAGGAGTTGGCTGGTGAGAAGAGAAACTGCTGAAGTAGCTGAAGTTTGGGATTGTTGCTTCAGGTGGAGACTTTGTTGTAAGGCAGTGGAACCACTTGGAGTGAATTCTGTTGGCTTCCTAATTCTAGAGGTCCAAGTTGCTCGTGATAATTTTGGGAAGAGAAAAATGGCCGAAGCTTCTAATTACTGCTGGTGTTCATTGAATGCTTGGTTTTCTTGTGTAGCATTCTTATGCCTTTGTGTAATAGTTGACTGGTAGCTCCTACCATGCTTAAGGTTATGGACCAATTTTCGGTGTAACTTCCTGCTCAAACTTTCCGAAGCATCTTGTGGCTGAAACTTTCTAAGTTTTCTCTTGTCACACTTCAAACCCACCCTCAAGCAGAATCCCTTCTGCTAAGTTTGTGTTAATACAGACTGGGATGGAAGTAAGGTTTCTAGTCGCTCTTGGACAGGCTACCTAACCTGTTTCAATCTTCTCACTGCCATGCACCACTCACGACTTAAAAGGTTAAAGAATTTGCTCAGAACCTGTGTTCCCTGGCACGAGACAGGGAGAGTTCCACTGTTTTAGGAGACAGGATGTTGAGAATAAGCAGTTTACCATGGTGTTGGGGACCATAAGAGCTGGTGCGTTTGCTCAGTTTGAAGATGGAAAAAATTTAAAGTGAATGGAAAAATTGCCCACGAGCGTGCTACTTGGGGATTTGCCAAACACGTTGTGTGCTGTTCAAATGCACAGCATGCTCTGGCTTGCCATAGGAGGGCTATGGGCTGCTTTCAACTTACTGTGTCTAAGCAATGGATTCCAGGCAGGTCAGAGTTGGAAGAAAAATGTGATCTGCAATCCCCTTTTTCTTCCCTGTTTTCCTTCCCCTCTTCTCCTCTCCACCTCCACATCGTAGCCTTCCTTTGGGCTCAGGGTGAGAGAGAACCTCAGCTAATCAAAGAAGACCACCAGACGTTCCAAATGTCTCCGGGTGGGGCAAGGACAACGCACGAGGCCCATTTGCTCCTTGAGTGTCTCCTGCTTCATTGTGATCAGGAGAGGGAAGGGGCTGCCAGGCTGGCAAATATGTAGCTTAACCTCGTGGCTCACAGGATGTCTTACGAGCAATACCCCAGGTGCCATGAGAAGTTCATGGTTTTAATTTGTTTAGTTTACATTTTCAGCCTCTTGGTGACTCTCTCTTTTTTTTGCTTCAGTTAATTTGAACATGCTATACTGGGCCTGGGCAAAATACAGCTCGCAGGCCACATCCGGCCCACCAAGCCACTGTATCCAGCCCACAGAGGCAGCGGGGAGCCCCAGGCAGGCTCCCCTGCTTGCCCCACGTGCCAGGCAGAAACACAGCTGCCGGGCTCCATTCCGGTTTCAAAACTGGAGGGGAGGGAGGAAGCTTCAGGAAACCATCCTTGCTCCTTTTTTCGGGCAAAAACCCAGCCAATGGGAGTTGCTTGTTGAATAACAGGCAGCCAAGAAGAACCATGCCACCTTGCCTTGGCTCAGTTATTCACTGAAGCACATGACCAGGCAAGCTGGCAGGCTGGCAGGCTGGCTGGCTGGGGAACGTTGTAAGCTCTGTAAGCCTTAGCTCAGCCGGCAAGCAGGCAGCTGGTTTGGCTGCTGGCTGGTAAGTCTCCTGGCCACAGCCTGCCTCTGGCACCCCAACCCTTCCCCCCCACTTAACATACCCAAACCTTCGGTGCCCCTCTTGCAGCCATACTCCCTTCCAGATCTGGCACCCCAATCTCCAGCCCCAGATCACAGTCCCCTTCTACCTTAGGTTACATCCCAAACCCCTACACTCTGGTCTCCTGCCCTAGGTCACAACCTCTTCCTTCACCCAAACTCCCTCCTGCACCCCCGTCCCTTACCCCAAGCTTCCTTCTGCCCCCAACCTCCATCTCAGACCCTGCATCTCCTCCAATATCATCATGGAAAAGTGCGGTCATCAACCACTTTCCAAAATCTTGGAGTGGCTCCTCGTCAAAAATTACTGCCCGCCCCTCTGCTATGCTACTCACTCAGTGTGCTGCTGGTAAGGGAAAGAAGCTGCTTTAGTGGCATACGTGTAACCTGTTCTGGGCAGCCTTCAAGAGTCACTGAATAAGAGGAGGCAGTTGGGGAAGTGAACTGTGACATCAGTGTGCCCTGTTACTTCCTTGGGCAATGTAACCCTTAGAAGAGCTATCCAGGACATGTTGTGGATTGGGCCTGGTACTTGTGGGAGACCTGGCATATGTTGGAAGCCTGGTTTTGGACTAGGGACCACAGAGGAGAGGTTCTGCATCCTCTGAGCCATCTAGATCCCTGGAGCCACTCGGACACGTTGAACTTCCCTGCATTCGTCCTGTTCCGTAGTGTCTGAAGTGGCCCGTCCTTCCCCAGAAGCGTTGGCCTGCAGGCTCCCTGTACAGCCTCTGAATCTACTGAGGGACTTAGTCACAAATACCCCTATCCCGAACCAAGGTGGAAAGACCCTTTGTGTGCACCTTCTCAAATCTCCAGCGCGCCAACTGCTGACCTGAGAGCAGTGTTGTCTTGTAGCGGGCACGAAGGGAGAGTGGGGATCTGTCTTCTGAGCATTGCTTTCCGTCTCTGTTGCAGAACTGAGTGGCTTCAGCCCAGCGTGGGACCCCTGTGGGCATGAGACTCTAGCGCCCTCGAGCTTTGCAGGGTAGATCATTCACAGAAGGGAATGTTACGGTGGACTGTGCACTTGGAAGGTGGGCCCCGGAGAGTGAACCACGCTGCTGTGGCTGTTGGCCATAAAGTGTATTCCTTTGGCGGGTATTGTTCTGGTGAAGACTATGAGACTCTGCGGCAGATTGATGTCCACGTATTTAATGCGGGTAAGTGTGCTACGTCCTTGCAGCTGCCAGGCTGGCGGAGGCTGGAATTCCCCTGCCTTAGTTGTCAGGTTGCATTCTCCAGTGCTCATTTCTCTTGAAGGGTTGTAGGCCAAGTGTGAGACAGACCCACTGCTGCTCTGCATGGAGACTGGCTTGCAGAGCACCGATCCTTGCGAATTGCCACCTCTTCCCCTAGAAAACACATCTGCAGGTGCAGGGCTAGCCTAGAGTGATACCTTTGTGAGGCTGCAGTTGCCCATCAGGCAGAGTGGGGGTTGTATCCGGAACCGTGGGGTGAGGGCACTGGGGGCAATCGTACGTCTTGATCTCATGGCACTGCCCCACAGGAGTTCCAAGACGCTGATCAATGCAGAGCTGACGGTTACCATGGTGCTGGCTCTTTGTTTTGCTCAGCAACTGAAGTGAAGAGAGGGGGTGACAAAACGAAGCGCAAAGGCAGACAAACAGGCAGTTTGAAACGAACAGCGTGCCACGTTAAATGCTGCTGAACGCACCCAAATACGCCCTAAAGTTCCTTGGCCGCGGGGCAGCTCTAATTGCCTTGTGACTGGAAATGGGGGGGTGTGGGTGCCCTGAGCAGCAGCAAGGGGAAGGAAAGAATCTGCTAGGCCAGTGGTTCCCAACTCGTGGTCCGCGGACCCCTAGTGGTCCACGACGGTACTACAGGGGGTCGGCGGAAAGTTGAAAATAGAAATGAAATGTGCAATGTATAAACACTTCTGTATTGTAATGAATACATATTCATCGATTGTGTAATTATAAATATAAAATATTTAGTTCCATGATCATTTTACGTGAATACATCACCCTGCTCTAACCGTTCAAAAGCTATTAAGTGTGGCAGGAAGAGTGTAGTTGGGCTAGGGTCCGTGGAAAATTTAAAATAGAAATGAACATAACTGTGCAGTGTATAAACACTTATGTATTGCCATTAATAAATACTTGTATATTGTTTGGGGGGGGGTCCGTAAAATGTTAACAGATTGAAAAGGGGTCCGTATGCTGGAAAAGGTTGGGAGCCACTGTACTAGGCAGTCTTTGAGGTCTCTGGACAACTTATGGTGCTCCTGCTTTACCCATCCTCACAGCACATCTTTGGGAAACCAAGTAGCCAGTAATAAGCTAGAGGTCCGTGAGTAGTTCATATTAGTCCTTCCAATGAGTATCCGCTTGCATTTGCCGTCAGTGAATTTTGCTGCCCATTCACCTAGCTTTGTTGGTCCCTCTGAGGTCCTTTGCAAATGTCTCTAGCCATGACTTACCTCAGGAATCGTCCTCTCCATATGCTGCCATGTCGCTCCTTTCCCCCTCGTCCTGCTCACCACAACTCCGTATCTAAGCACGTCATCTGATTTACCTGGTACTGAAGCTGGGTCCATTGGTCTGCTCCCAGGAACAGCCCTAGATCAGACTCTGTCTGCACTGAAAACGTTAAGGCAGCAGTGTGGCCACGCGGGAGCGCGTTCTGTAGAGCAGTGTTTCTCAACCTTTTTTTATAAAATACCCCTTTAAAAACAAAAAAACATTACTATAAGTACTCCCAGTACAGTACCTACAGTTTTCAGACACGTGATTTTTTTTCCATCATTGCAACACTTTTGTTTAAACAACTTAATTGTGAGCTGGAGATGACATTCTCAGGTGTAAAAAATACAAAAATAGTAAAGCAAGCGCTGTAAAACTGAAAACAAAAATTCAGTTTTCTCCAAATGTCAGTGTGTTGACGTACCCCCAGACGTCTCTCGAGTGCCCCGAGAAACACTGCTGTACATCACCTCCACGAGGAGAAAGTTACAAGACAGCGAATGGTCCTGCAGCACCTTGGAGACTAACACAAAGTCTAGATGGGATCATGAGTTTTCGTGGGCACAACCCACTTAGTAGCTAACTATGTTGGGGGTGTGGCTCCTGGCGCTATAGCCTGGTGTACACTGGTGCTTTACAGTGCTGTAACCTGCCGTGCTCAGGGGTATGTTTAGCCTTAGGTACAGTCATTTCTCTACCATCTGGTTCTGCTGTTCTGCAGCTGATCAGTCTTTCCAGACCCTACTCTCCTATACCGGTCTTCGATGGTGCTTCATGTCTATTACTGGACTAGAACTGGCTGCTGTAGCTGTCTCCTCCGATGCCCTGCGTGGTGAAATTTGGGGCAGAGAAATCACTTGGCTTCTCTGCCACGTCAGTTGCTCCCTGTTCTCCCTGGTGGCCAGCAGACCCACTAATCTCCCCAGAGGATTTCATATCAGTGTGCTCTATAGTTACCAGCTGTTCCAATTAGGCTTTTTACTTGCTTACCAGAGTGCAACCCCCCTTCCCCCCGCAGCGAGCTGCAGAGTAACTGCGAGTGTTTCTGTCCACATCTGTGCATGCTCACTCCCATACGCATGCTGCTCTCCATGTGTTCACCCATGCAACACCTGACAGCTGGTGTGAATTGGGCAAGCCACCAAAGTCACAGTCTGGGGCTTCTGCTTTCAGTGTCTCTGCGCTGGACCAAGCTGCCGCCAGTGTGGACAAACAGCCGGGACCACGTGAGGGAGGTGCCCTACATGAGGTATGGGCACTCGGCAGTGCTGATTGACGATACCATCTACATATGGGGAGGCCGTAACGACACTGAGGGAGCCTGCAATGTCCTCTACGCCTTCGATGTCAGTAAGTGCCCTGCTCCCACCTTGAATGCTCTCCAAGACGGTTCCCCCTCCAGCTGGCTTTGGGGTCCCCATGGAGTGATAGCTGAGGTTTTCCCTCCAGAGAAATACTGCCAGAGGCTGGGAATTGGCCTTTTATTGGGAGCCTCTCTGGCTAGCGTAGCAGCACTGGAGGTGTTCACGTTTGGGTCTGAGCTAGGAACTACAGCTATTTAGCTCTTTTCTAATGGGAAGTTAAAATTCATTTGACTCCTGAATGCGTTAAGTTCCCTTTTGTCTTCACTAAATTCACAGCTCTCTTTTCTTGTGAGCAACTCCTCTGCATGACTATTGCGGAAACGCTGGGAGGGCAATTGAGCTCTTGGAGAGGGTGAATGCCCGGCACTCCAGGAGAGGGAAGCTGCTGTTCTCGGCAGCCCTTAGTGTCAGGAGGGAGCAAAGACAAAAGCCGGAAGAGGCTCCAGAAGTTGCAGTGAGCAGGGTGGGGGAGTGTCGGGAGGCAGGCCTGGTCTCAAAGCGGTGTGGAGTCCTGGCGGGTAAGTGGGAAGTACTGGGGCACAGTCAGGAAGCCATGAGGGGGTCTGAGTGGGCTTGTGGGATGACGGTCACAGCTGGCGGGGCAGAGCAGGAGGAGGGCGTTGGGGAACAGGCGAGGAGGGATTCCCGGAGAATGGCAAAGGGAGGGATGTGGAAGCAAGCAGGACTCGGACTGTCTGGGGGAGAATTTAGAGAGAGAGGAGTTGCTTGTCCTTGGAGGACTGGAGGGAATGTCTCGCAGGCTGGGCCCTTTCCGCAGGTTTCTGCTGGCGCTGTCTCCTCTGACTAGCCCAGCTGGAGGGAGCAGCCACACAAAACATTGCAGACACAAAGGGCCTGTGGCAGCTGGCCCCACACAGCTGCCAGCTAAATTGAGTTAGCAGGAGTGTCAAGTGAACATTGATGGAGAGACCTCAGGCGACTGCTTTAGTCTGCAGCCCTGTCCAGCCGTCCGTGCACATGTGCCAGTTCCCCTCCAGGCCTGGAGAGCGGGCACTGCCAATCCTGCTTCAGTCAAAGGAAGCGGTGGAGGCCCATGGCATGAGTCACCTCCGATTCGACAAAGCCCTGGGGACCACTGCCAGGCACAGGGCTTCGCTGACCCCTGGGGTACAGGTGCGGCCTAGATCAGGCGTCCTAGGCCTTAGAGACTCTGACTTCAGAGGTTGCTTTTGCCTGGGCTTTTCACCATTGCGCCTGGTTGGCTTTAGAAGTGGCTCCAAGCCAGGCTGGCTTTCCCTCCCTGCCTACCCTCTCCCTGCGGCTTGCACTGGCCTTCAGCAGGCCCCTTCATTCAGCGCCAGCTGGAATCTGGGCACATAACTGGCTGGAGGCCAAGGTCAGGGAAGTTGGAGGGTGTTGAGCAGATCCTAATTTTGCCACTTCCTGAAATAAGCATTGCAGCTGGCTGCCAGCAGCACGAAGGGGATCCTCCCGCTGCTCCACGGCTTCTCCGTGCTTCTCTGGGGGGGGAGGGAGAGCTCCGTGGTTTGAGCATTGGCCTGCTAAACCCAGAGGTGCGAGTTCAATCCTTGAGGGGGCCATTTAGGAATCGGGGGCAAATCTGTCAGGGATGGTGCTCGGTCCTGCTGTGAGGGCAGGGGACTGGACTCAATGACCTCTCAAGGTCACTTCCAGCTCTGAGAGAGGTGTATCGCCATATAAAGGACAGGTGCCTGCACTGGCTCCATTTCACATTGCCCTGCATGGAGAAGACTTTTATCCAGGCTTGGAGAGTCCCTTGACTGGAGCCAGTCCCCACAGATTGCAGACCCAGGAGCCCTTCTTGGAGGGATCTGACTGTAATTACTGAAGCAGATGGACTTGTGGGAAAGGAGAATGGGAGGCAGGCAAGGTGGAAACTCGGAAGGCTGGGACAAGGGCGAACACGAGTGGGACGAGTGCTGCGATGATGGGCATGGCCGATAATTTGGGGGGAGGTGACCAGGGCTCTCTCGCACACGACAGCGACTATCCAGCGACGCAAGCAAGCAACCCACCTTTGGCCCTCTGCCGGGCTCTAGAGCACTGTGCGCTTTGGCTGCCTTCTGTGCCGGTGTCTCAGATGCTTCCTGCGCGGTTCTGCACCGTCACTGCAGGCTGGAGGCTGAAGAGATACAACAGCGTAGTCGAGGGGCAGATCAGATGAGCTTTGCATCCGATGGAAAACGTACGTGCCCAGAGGAGAACTGTGCTGACTGCGGTACTCGAGCTTGTGGAAAACATAGTCCGAATGGCTGCCGAATGCAGCATCGCTGTCCCGGGAAGCAGCAGGCCTTGCCCCAGAGTGTCGATTCCACAGGACCCCTGTCTGTGGGGCGGCCTGGCCTTAGAGAGCTTCCCACGATCGCTCAAGGCAGGTGGCGCACACGCAGCATCTGCCGTTTGTGTTAGGAGATGGCTTTCTCCTTTGGAAGGTGGTGGCTTTCATGTCTTCCCAAGAGCTGCTCTCCTTCACTCTCCCGTCCCTACTCCGCCGTTTGGTGTCTGCTCTTAACACCCATTGTCTCTATTTTAGGCACTCACAGGTGGTTCACACCCAAGGTCTCTGGCATGGTCCCAGGAGCAAGAGATGGGCACTCTGCTTGTGTCTTGGGAAAGACCATGTACATCTTTGGAGGCTATGAGCAGCTGGTAGGTGGTCTCTGGCATAACGTGTGTGTCTGGGGAAGTCTGGCACCACCTGGGTAATCCTGCTCTCTAACAGCTTGTCCTGGTACCCAGACTACTACTCCTCGAACAGAGGTGCACCTGTATGTAAGCCTGCCGAATGCTTTCCAGCATGCTCTCCTGCTGTTAGCTCCCGATAACGTTGTCACATTGTAGGTGTTACAGCCGGAGTGTTTTAGGGCTCCTGGGGCTGGTGTGGAATATTTTTGGGAAAAATATGCAAAACCAGTTAAGCTGGTTGTGAGAACAAACCCAGCACTTCTGAGTTTGGAGCAGAGTCTCTAAACTGACGTCTGTTCTAGGGTCCAAGGGAAAGGTGCTTTTGCCAACCCTGTGACACTCCAGCTAATTTGGCCAAGGTCTGAGCCGTGGAAAATGTCCACTTGTATTTGTGCAGTAGAACTTACTCTGTGCTGCTTAACTCTGCATGTTCCCGCTGCCGCAGACGTGTCTTGAGTCTTGCTGAGTCCCCCCCAGGAACATGTCCAAGTGCTGGTAGCCTAAGGCAGGTGTGCTGGTCTGGGAACCAGGAGAGCAGCACGGTTGGGTTCAAATCTGGTTTTGGCTCACAGAAGCTCTGTTCTTGTTTAGCAAGTTCTTCTATTTCTGCCCTTGCAGGCTGGCAAGTTCCATTCTCCCCGGGGCCCTCCTCTCTTACAGAAGAGATTGCACAAGCTGGGAACAGGAACTCGGCACAAGTCTTGTTTCTTTACTCATTCTGAGCAGCAGTGTGCTTACGCCAGCTCCGTGTGCATGGCTATGTGTACCGTGAGCAAGTGCGTTTTCTTCTCCCGCTGTAAAGGCTGCTCAGCTAGAAAACAGCTTGCTGTTACTACTAATTCGCCGAGTGGCCGCACTAACTTGAGCGAGAGGCTCATACTGTGGAGCTGATGATCCTGCTAATAACTTATGTGTAGGAGTCACTGCAGTTGTACAATGAACTTGTGAGTCTCTGGTTATAAAAGTCCTAGGGAATTGCACCCAAAGGCCATTGGTGTAACAAAGTCAAGCGTTTGCATTAGGAATTACCAGCATTAATATTGCCTAGGCTGCTCTGGTTCTGCCCCTTTGTGCGTTATGATACAGTCTCTGACTAGGTGGCCCCTGTCTCTTGTCTGTTGCACAGCATGGACAGTGAGTGAGGCTGTCGTCGTGAAAACCCTGGCCTCACTTGTGACAAATTCGGAATGTGACACCGGATGAGCCATGGAGTTGCAAGAAGCACTAGGCTAGCCTTGTAGTTTAGGAGTTGGTCTGGAGAAACCAACTGCCACAGACTTCCCTCGTGGTTTGCACGAGGATCTTCCCAGGCTGCAGGGGCCTGGCACAGAAGTGCTGAGCACTCAGAACTGCCATTTGAAATGTGCGAGAGCCGTGTGTGCTCAGCATCACTGGGCAGCCAAGAGTAGTGAGTGAGTGTGCGGCTGTTGGCTGGAGGCTCTCCGGCTTGCAGAGCATTCTGACAGGACCGTGGTAAGCGCAGAGATGCCCACCAGGCAATTCCTAATTACTCTAGTCCAGTGCAGAATGAGAATGGCGGCTGGTAAACCAGGCCTGGGCCCAGCTGCTGAATGATGGGGGCGAGAAATCACGGGCAGCAGCCTCGCTGTCCATCCTGTGCAGAGAATCAGGAGTGAGTCAGTGGACTGCCAGTTTCCAGGTCTCTAGGCCCCGTTGGTGTCCTGAAAGCCACGAAGTCCTGGTCTGCCTAACAGTTTGGGAATTGGACTCTCTTCCAGGCTGACTGCTTCTCAAATGACATCCACAAGTTGGATACCAGCAGTATGACGTGGACTCTAATCCAAGCGAAGGTCAGTTTCTGTTTATCCCTTTGGCCCACATAGAAACCTTCACCTCGGCTACCCTCCGGGGGTGGCGTGTACCTGCTCTGTAGCTTCTGTCTCGCTTGCTTGTAACCTCAAGCGAAAGTTCTCTGTGGGGTGGCGGCTCATCGCTAACCCTGGCCCCCCAGGCCCAGTTTCCCTCCCGGTGGTTTCACCTTGTGGGGCAGTCTGCATTTTCCTTGGTTTTCTTACCAGCAGCCTGTGCTGTTCCAGGGCACGCCAGCTCGCTGGAGAGACTTCCACTCGGCCACCATCATTGGCACCAAGATGTACGTGTTTGGTGGTCGAGCCGATCGTTTTGGGCCCTTCCACTCCAACAATGAGATCTACTGTAACCGAATCAAAGTGTTTGACACCGAAACAAACTCCTGGCTGGACTCCCCTCCCACTCCACTGCTGCCCGAAGGCAGGCGGAGCCACTCTGCATGTGAGTTGTCTCCCTCCAGGAAGCAAGGGCCATGGGAGAGCTCAGTGAGGATAAATGGGAAGCATGGGAGAGCTGTGCAGCCTTCCTGGCCCCTTGTCTAGTTCTGGGGAGAAAGGGGGATGCAGGGAATGTACCTGACGTGTCCTGGGGAAAGTCAGTGCATGGTGCAGTCCCATGCAGGTGAAGAGCCTCGCAGGCTGCCTCATGCATGAAGAGGGCCTGTAAGAACGACGTCCCGGTTACTTCCCTTGGGAGGCTGGTGCAGCTGGGTTCTAGGCTGCATGTGCTGACATTTCTCCTTGCTCCCTGCAGTTGGCTACAATGGGGAGTTGTATATATTTGGTGGCTACAACGCACGCTTGAACAGACACTTCCATGATCTCTGGAAATTTGACCCAGGTATTTCGGCTCAACCTTTTCTCCCTTTATTTGAAGTGTGGTGGTGCCCTAGGTCGTCGGCTGTGATCCGGGGCCCCATGCAGGAGGTAATGCACTCCTCCTGGAGGGCACTGTCCGGGCCCCAAAGAGCTTGTGAATACCCACCCAAATCAATACACATGATCAGCCATCTGGCAGTGACATTGCAGGGATAAATCAACTTGTGCCTTTTCTGGCTTCACGTCACTTTGCCAGAGACCAGTGAGAGCAGAGTAACGCTGCCGTACACCTCTGGCCAGGAAGCGGGGTCCATCCTCCACTCGGTGGCAGCACTCTGCACTCTGTCCAGAAACAAGCTAATCTGAACAGGAAGCTACGGAGAAGAGGGTAGATTAGGGCTCCCCTGAAGAGTGAACATGGGGAAATCATGGCTTCAGCACGGGGGAACCCTTCACTTTGAACTCTGGTCTGACCCCTCCCAGTACCGAGCCCCTCTGCTGCTGTGATCCCAAAAGGCTTAATTCTGCAGACCAAGAAAGGGCTCGTTTTACAAAGCGCTCTTCTAGAGGTCTGAGCATGCACCCGGGAGACAGGAAGTGGAGCTCAGATCTCTGCACTGTGCCTCCAGTCCCCCATCTGTAGCCGAGGATGGGGGGGTGAGGCTGGATTCACGTTTGCAGAGTGCTTGCAGCACTTGAAGCCCTAAAGACGTGCTAAGCACTTGTCTGAGGGACAGCACCGTGCAGTCTGCGTTCCCCTGACACATCTGTGGATACTGCGTGTGGTGCTGAACAGCGCTAATAGCTGCAATTTCCTGAATGAGTCGCCACCTCCAGGAGCCCCGGCAACACATCCATTCCCATTTGTCCTCTCTGCAGCCTTCAGGCTCCAGTTCATTGTTCTCCAGCAGTGAGTCCTCCCTTCAAAGGAGCATGCGTGTCCTGTGGGAAGGGCTGTGCAGAGTGCAGCTGTCAGCAGATGGCACTGCAAAGCTGGGTGTGGTTCAGGAGACCGGCTGGGAGGGGATGCTGGCCGGTCCCTTGCTCAGGGTTTCTTCTCAGCCCTTCCCCCAGCGCAGCCGGAGTCTGGTCTCTGGCAAGTCTGAACCAAGCCCTCCCTGCAGTTCTGTGTGGCGAGACGGCCGGGTCCCCGCGGGGTGCCGCATTCTGTTGCTTCCCCTGGAATAGGGGAGGGATGGGAATTTGGTTTCCTGCCTGAAGGAACCGCGTGAGTTTGGCAGGCTGGGTGGCTAGGCTGGGGCCCCCCCAGTCATGGGTGGCTGGGCTGAGGCCTCCCCCCTCAGCCACTGGCAGGGAGCAGCCAAGTGACCCTGGTGGGGTGTCTGCAGGAGACTCCAACTTGCGTCGTGTGTTGACTCCCGCAGATGGAGCTCAATGAGAACCTCCCTCTGCACTGGAATGAGGCCTCCTGAATGCAGTGTCCACAGAGGAGTGCTCCCCTCCTTATGGTGGGAGGGGCCGGGGGTGAGGCCTCCCCCCTCAGCCACTGGCAGGGAGCAGCCAAGTGACCCTGGTGGGGTGTCTGCAGGAGACTCCAACTTGCGTCGTGTGTTGACTCCCGCAGATGGAGCTCAATGAGAACCTCCCTCTGCACTGGAATGAGGCCTCCTGAATGCAGTGTCCACAGAGGAGTGCTCCCCTCCTTATGGTGGGAGGGGCCGGGGGAAGGCTGCTCTTGACGAGGGATGTCCGTGTGTAGACGACTGCACCATTAACCGACAAGCCTGGGCTTGCCCTGTCGACTACCTGCATTCCGCCCCCTGCTGCCTGAGACAGAGGCAGGAGCTGGCCTTTAGCTGCTCTGCAGCAGCAGCCCCTGTCCGTGGGGAGCGTGCCCCACCCCCGTGGACAGGGGCTGCTGCCACCCCACGCTGCTGTGTCAGTGGGGCGGCAGGCAGGAGCCGGTCTGCACGGGGAGCTGGTTTTTATACCGGCCTCCCTCATGGACCAGCTCCCGCCTGTCCCCCCACCTCTGACAGGGGTGGCAGCACGGAGTGGCGGGGGCTCCCTGGGAGTGGGGCCGAGAGCGTGTTGGCTGCCGGCCCCGCCTCCGGGGACTATCGAAGTCATGTAACCGCTAAAATGTGATGTGGTTACATGGCTGTTGGATTGCACGCTGCCTCTCTTCCCATCTGGCAGAGTGCTGGGACCAGCATGGCAGGGCCCTGCGCGTGTTTAACCCTGCAGTTCGGGAACCCAGGGCTCCAGGGGGATTGCTCAGTTCCACGCTGCGCCCTGTGACAGACTTGTGGGTTTTCCCACAGTATCCTTTTCTTGGAAGAAGATTGACCCCAAGGGGAAGGGGCCCTGCCCTCGCCGCAGGCAGTGCTGCTGTAGAGTGGGGGACAAGATCATCCTCTTCGGGGGCACCAGGTGAGTGCTGGGCCATGGGCGCCTGCTGGAGAGTCCCTGCTTTACGTTGCTTCCCCAGATTCCTTCACATAAAGGGGTTCCATGAAGCGATCACCCCTCTGGCCCCCTGGGAGTTGCGCGTCTCAGCCGGATAACTCAGGGTTTGGCCAGTGGCAGAGGCGGGCTGCCGTCAGTTCCTGGTGTAGGGCTCTGTCGCCCTGAGGCCAGTGGGGGCTGGTTCATCAGGCTTGGCAGAGAAATGCGCCTGGATTGGTGGGCTGTTGTCGGGGAGGAGGCTGAACGAGGAGGATGTGAACGGTCCTTCAAACCTCTCCTATACCCCTGTACCACTGAGCATCCCCTTCATGTCCACACCCTGCCTGGGAGTGCACCAGGCTGCTGCCAGGGTGGTTGACGTGTGTGGTGGGGAGGGAGGGGCCTGTGCCGACACACGTCTCCGGTTCGTCGCACCGAGATTCTGTCTGAACTGGGCCACAGGCGGCTTGTGAGAACGGAGATTCTCCCGCCCACTAGAACAGGGCTGGGTGAATACCGGCCGGCGGGCTGGATCGAGTCTGCGAGGGCTAGTCCCTGGCGGGCCCCCACGAGCAACGAGCCCCGGCCAGTGAGAGCTGCGATTGCCCGCGGAGGCGCAGGTAAAGATGGCGGCAGCGGCCCGCCAGGAGCTAACCCTGGGAGGCCACCACTTTTTGACTGCCCACCCCTGCGCTGACATCTCATCTGCCTGCTCACCCTTCGCCAGTTAGACGCGCCCCAGATTCACACTGCCCTATGGCACAGGCAGGGGCTCTAGAACCCACAGAGCTAGCCGTTTGGGTGCCATTTCAACCCTGAAAAGCTGGGAGTCGGCCAGTTATGTGACCCCTTTTCACTTGCCCCTCGCTGGCCAAGCACCTCTCAAGGGGCAACTCTGTGCATCTCCCGACGTCTGACCCATCCAGTTCCTCTAGCCCACGCGAAGGCCCCGCCGAACCGGCCAGGCCAGCACTGTGCTCCTCCCGAGAGAGGCCTGTGTGTCGAAAGCATCAACAGGCTCCGCAGCCTTTCATGCAGGGGTCAGCGACCAACGGCTCACGAGCCTAACATGGCTCTTGGCTGCCAGAGCTAGAGCCCAGGCTGTGGTACAGCCACTCCCGGGGCGGACCACGTGGCAGGCGGCTGCTGGAGCTAAAGCCAGGCTGCCTGCCATGCGGCCCTCCCCCCTGGGAGCAGCCGCACCATGGCCTTGGCTCCGGCTCCAGCTCCAGCACACGGGGCAGCTGCCTGCCATGCAGCCCTGCCCCAGGAGCAGCCGGGCAGCCACCGCATGGCCCTGGCCCCAGCTTCAACCCTTCTCCAGGACATGTCGGGGGGGCTGCAAACCCCCGGCCCCAGGACAAACTGGAGGGCCGTGAATTGTGGATTGGTGACACTGGGGGGGGCACAGAGTCCCCCTCCCAACGCCAGGAAACAGGGTGGGGGCCAACTGAGAACCACAGCCCACATCCCCCCACCCCAGGACACATCGGGGGAGGGCCAGAAACCACTGCCCCCCAGAGGAGATGCGGGGGCACTGGAAACCACTGTCCATCCCTCCCCCTGAGGAGATGCCAGTGGGGTCCAGAAACTGTGCCCTCCCCATCTTTGCTGCCACAGGCAGCCCTGGTAAGCCCCCCACACCTCCCCTGAACCCCCACAGCTCCCTGCTCCTTAGCCACTGCCCTGACTCCTGCATCCTCATCCCCTGCCCTAGCTCCCAAGTCCTGGCCTGACTCCTGCAGCCGCTACCCCCTGCCCTGAGTCCACCCACACATCCAGCCCCTTGCCCAGAGCCCCCCAACTCCAGTGCTCCCTGCCCTGACTCATGCATTCTTATAGGGCCCTTCCTTGCCACGTGCTCTGAATGTTGCTGTAGTTTGGTGGCTGGGTTTGAAAAGGTGCCGCCCCTGAATCCTCCGTGGATGGAACACGCCCTGACTCCTCCCCTGCTGTGTCTGTTGGATCCGTGCCCATGAGAGCCATCTCCCCATGGCAACCTGCACGTGGAACCAAGAAAAGCCGGTTCCTTCCCACTCTGCAGCTGCAGTGTTGAAATTGCCCCCAGGTTTTCCTCCAGCTGAGTGCGGGGCACCCGGGAGCCCTGAGATCATTGTCTTCCCGCATTAACAGCCCCTCATGGACGCTGGGCCCAGAGGGGCTCAGGTCGGCTTCCCCAGGGCAGGGGAGAAAACATTCCAACGGGGCAGAAAAGGGCAGCATGCTTTCTCCTGGCTCCCAGCACAGCCTAGTGGCCAGCCGAGTACAGGGAGTCCCAGCTTCTGGGTCCTAGCGGCCGCCCTGTCACCAACTCCCTCTAACTTTGCTGTGCCTCGGTTTCTTCAGTAAATAGGGGAAGGAGCTAAGCTTCGGGGAAGGGCAGTGGGGTGCCGCACCCTGGAAAGGGGCTCAGGGCGAGAAGGGGATGTTGCTGTGGGACCAGCCTCTTCATCTGCAGTGACTCTCCAAGACCCATGTCTCCCTTGCTGAGCACCTCCCTTCTGTCCCCCTTGCCTCTGCTGCTGAGTGTTGCTGCCTGTCGCATGTGGGCGTGATCGCAATGGCTGTATGGCAGGGCCACGCACGGCAGCGAGGGGACCGTTCCTGTGCTGCCCTTTCAATAGTGCATCTGGCTGAAGGTTTCCTTTGCTGGGGGGGCCTAGAGGCAGGGATTTGGCTGTCAAACACTTTCCGTGACCCCATCAGGGTGGAGGGCAGCTGGATGTGGCCGAGAGACTTAGCAGCTGCTAAAAGCAAGGAAATGCCCCAGCACCTCCTCAGACCCTCTGCTCTGAACTCTGGCAGTGACAGATTGTGGCTGTGCAGCCTGTTTCAGATCCGCAACCACGTGTCCGTTCAAATGCCCGCAGTGCCTTTTAGCCTCTCCCCAGCCTGCAGTGGAACAAACCGCACTGGCACAGGCATGGCTCACTGGGGGCGGCAGACCCCCGACAAGGACTTGAGTGTCCGTCCACAGCCCTTGGTGCGGTCCTGACGATGGGTGCGGGGCCAGAGGCTGGGTCGCTTCTCCCTGAGTCTCGGGAACTCTCCAAACTCACAGCTGGAGGGAGGAAACCGTGGCCCCCGGTGCTTCCCAAAGCGGGTGTGGGGGTGGAAGTCTGCGTGGCGCCTCCCGTAGGCAGTGAGGCGCCGCTCTGAGAGCTGCTTGGCTTCAGCAGAAGGGCCGGTCTAACGGAGCTTGTGCTCCTGCAGTCCTGTCTCCGTTCATGCTGCTCACCCTGAGCAGCTAGGAAACTGCTTCCCTAAGACACTGAGAATCAACCGCTTCCCATTCTCCATGTGTGGGCTTGGGTAGCATGCAAGTGTCGGCCGGGGGCTAGGCGGAGCTGTGGCAGGTCGGGATTGCTGGGCCCCTGTCTCAGAGCCGCGGAGGGGCTGGTTCGCTTCCTGCAGGCGGTTATCAGGTGTGTTCTGGAGCTGGCTGACTGGCTTGATAAGAAGTTTTCCAGGAAGTCCTTGTAAATGGAGAGCTCCCTACAGTCTGCATTGTCGGCTGCAGGTCACCAGGAAGCGGGGAGAAGGGGCAGAGATAAAGTTTCAGCCCAGAGGAAGAGATTAAAGAAGTGAGCTGAAACAATAACAGCAGGCAGCCTCTGGCCAGCTGCATGGCAGAGGGGGCAGGCTCCCGGTCCGGGACAGTGAAGCCCATTTCTAGTCTGTCCTTCCCCTTCCAGGGACTGTTCTTCCAGCCATGGCTGCTGTTTCTTTGTGGCAGGGCTCAGGGGCTCTTGGAGTCCTTCAGAAGCTGGGCCAGACAGGCAGCGTACTTCAGACACTACATGGAAACGCAGCGTCCCCCAGAGCTCAGCCATGTCCACTCAGACCCAGGGGCCCAGGGATCACAGTGTGGCCACAGCAGAGGCCCTCCAATGTTAGTGTCCCCAGGGCCTTCGGTGTGTGGGAGGAGTGGTCTTTACATGGTTCTTGTGTGTATCCAGGAGCCCCGCACCGGCTGCTGCTGCCTCAGGCCCTCCCCCCTCAGCTTTCTCCAGCCTCTGCTCTCTGCCCACACTGTCCAGGGGTGCTGGAAGCAGCTCAGAAGCCTGGCCACATGGGAGCTGGGGCCTGAAGCAGGAAGTTTTTCAGGCGTCTGGCTGATAGGGGAGAGGATGTGCCCTGAGACTCCCTTTCCTGGGGTCTGTTCACACTGATATCTCGTCCCTTAGCTGCTCTCCTGGCCTTGAACTCGCGTTCCTTAGCCCCGCCGGGTTTGGTGATAAGTCAGCAGCCATGGGGCCTTCTAGCTGCCCCTCTGCAGGCTAAGGGTTTCCTGTGACACGGATGTGAAATAAGATTAGATTATCCTGGCTATGAAACCCCCACACCGGGGTGGGATTAAAGGGCCCTTTCCTGAACTCAGACAGATGGGACCCATCAGCAACAGGTGTTGTCTCAGCGAATATGGCTGCTGCTCTGGTCACTCATGGCAGCCCCTATGCTCGGTGCTGGGGAGAGGCTGCATCCACGTCCTGCGTCCCCGCTGATCCTCGTGCACAAAGGCCTGAGGCTGGCAGATGTTGCTGCCGATGCTCATCTGAGATCTTAAAGTGCCCATCTGGGTGAGCTGCAGCCTGCGGAGTCTGGGTCACTTCAACACCCCATCCCGTGCTGGAGCAGAACTTGTTGACTGACTCGTACGTGTTGTTCCCCGCAGCTGAGATTGGCTTTCCACCACGGAGCGGGCGCTATTCAGAGGCCAGGGCAGGGACAGCGGGTACTGCCTCTGGCCAGTGGAGAGAAGGGTTCAGGGTCTTGGGTTTTCTACTGAGAATGCAGCCGGGGGTGCCAGCCTGCCAGGAGCTGGCCCGAAATGACAGCTCCCCCTTTCACAGGCCACAGAACAGCCATGGAGTGCAGGTTCCAAATGAACGGAGCCCGGCTGGAGAGGAGTGGGGTAGCGCTCGCTCGGTACCTTTCCTTTACCCACGCCAGCCTCAGTACTGGCCGTGCTGTGTCCGTGTGGCTGATCACGGCCAGGAGCATTTCCAGCCAAATGGCTTTGTCTGGCTCGCCCCTTTGGAATCTGGATGGAGAGGGGGAAATGCATCTTGAACTAGCCTGTAGCTGGGAAGAGGAGCTGTGTGAGACCCAGACAGCCATAGCAGCCCGATATAATGACGTGCTACGAGCAGCCAGGGAAGGGCAGCGGGAGCAGCAGGGCCGCTACGCGGCAAATGCACCTTCAGGGTTGCTGCTGAAGAAGGTGGGGAGGTTCTGAGCGGGAGCAGAGCACAGCTGTTCCTGGGGGGGAGGGGCCGGGCCAAGGGCTGATCTCTGCATGAGGCGCATTGGCACCTAGCAACGTAGGGATGTCTCAATCAGCCGCGTTTCGCTGGAGTCGGCAGAGTCCAGCTTTTCATAGTTAAGCCTTTCCCGTAAGACCCAGAGGGCTGCAGAATTGCTCTAGAGCAGCAGCTTCACTGGCCTGTGTTTTGGGAGGGCTACGAGAGCAGCCTTTCTCCCTCTGGAACTGCCTGGCTCCCTGAATGTGACTTCATCCCTGCGAGGGCCAGTGCTCCCTGTCCTGTGACCTGCAAGAAAAGAAAATGTTGTTTCCTTGTTACCTGCGAAGTCTCTGCAGCCCAAGCAGCAAGCTTCCACCCCAGAATCCAGCTCTCCGCTCGATGTAAGCGACTGGTCGACTGTCCCACGAGCAAATGCTTATTGCTGCCTTTATCAGAGAGAGGCAGTGGTGGGGAGAGCAGGAGCTGGTGCTGTGGGGACCAGTAAAGCCGGTTCCCCCCCAGCTCCATCTCTGCGGGGGGGCAGGGGAGGCAGAGGTGCAGCGGGGAACAGCGCAAGGGGGGACTGAAGCCGTCTCCACTCGCGCCGGTTCCCGCTGCGGGCGCGTCTGCTTTTGAAATGTACAAGAGCCCGCCAGGAGAAGTGCGGCAGGGAGCAGGGACCCAAGCAGTCCCTGCTCGTCCAGCGCTGTCTGCGGCGCTCCCCCTCGCTGCCTCTGCCCTGGGGCTAAGTGGAGACTGACTGCTCTCTGTGGCTGCTAACTGTTCTTCCAGAGAGCCCCATGTTAGAGGCTTGCCTCCCATCAAGCTCGGCAGTGTCCATCAAGCTCTGCTACCCAGGGTTCCTAGCACAGGGGCCCCTCTGTCTGCAGAGAAGGCCCTAGAAATGCTGCTGCTCTTGCATGACCCGAGATCAGCCCTGCTCCGTCAGCCGCCCGCTAGGGGTGTGTGGCTGGCCTGCTGTGGTAATGAGTCCTCCAGCTGGTGCTGGTATGTCCGGCCCGCCTGCTGTGGGAGCTGCACAAGGAGCTCGGCTTGCTGGGGAAGGCTGGTCAGACGCTTGTGCAAACAAATCTATTCTCTGCCAGCCCAGCGCTCTTCCCAGCATGCACGGGGTGCTCCTCGCTCAGCGAGAGCTGCTGGTCCCCTGCCCTGGGCCGCTGGTGGGGCCGGCTTGTGTGTGCTCTGAGCGCTGGAACGTGGCAGTGACCAGTCTGCGAAGAGCCAGCCACGCTCACCGCCCTGTGCAGGACCCTCTTGCACTCTGCCTGTGGCTGTCCCATCCGGGGCGTGGGGAGCAGGAGTGACTGTTACAGGCACGTTCCTCATGCACCTGTAACCTCTGCTAGGAATCGGGTGCAAAGTGGAGGGGCGGGTTCGTGGGGGAGCTGTGGGCAGGAAATGGGGAGCTTGAAGGAAGCAGGCAGGGAGGGTAATAGGCTTGGAACAGCAACTGGAGGAAGTCATTCTTCCTGCAGCTCCCACAGTTGCTAGCCAGCGCCTGGGATTTCCGCGATGAGGTGGAGGAAGGACCAGCAGGCATTGGCAGTCGGCCCAATGACTGAGCAGTGTAACCCTCATGCTAACGGGGAGGGGGCTCTTGGCTGTGGTGGGCAGGGGAAGGACAGGTTCCCTAGGAAAGAGGTTTTGCTTTTTGCCCTGGTGATTGAGTTGGTGACCGGCCAGCCAAGAGACAGGAGCGAATGGAGCCCGGCGAGGCGTAGTGTCCCTGGCACAGAGGGACAGGGGAACCCAGGTGACCACACGAGGACAGTGTGGGAAGGAGAGGGCTACAGGACCCCTGATGTGGGAGAATGAGGCAAAGCGGGAAGTGGGGAGGAGCCAGTTGAGCCCTAGGCGAAGGCCACAGGAGGGACGGGCTGTGGAGCAGTCCAGAGGCTGGGGCGGAGCTTGGGGCCGGGATGTGGCTGCCCTCAGTGGAGTGGCAGGAATGGAAGCTAAATGCCGAGGATCTGTGGGGGTGAGACCAGCCCCCGATCACTGAGCTCTGCTGTTCAGTCCCTCCTAGCTTGATAGGACCAGGGTCCCTAGCCCCTGGAATCGGAGCAACATCAGCCCCCGTGGGGGCACTGCCACAGTGACTGACTGTTCTGATTGGCTCCCACAGCCCATCTCCGGAGGAAGGAATGGGGGACGAATTTGACCTGATGGATCACTCGGACCTCTACATCCTCGACTTCAGTACGTGAGCATCTCACCGTGGCTGTGTCCTGCTGCCCTCGGCAGCCCCGCGCTCCTGTAGCCAGATCTCAGCCCTGGGCCCTGACGGCCAGTTCCTATGGCCACACTGAGACTCCTAACTAAGTGGTCTGCCTTAAAAAGCACCGTGTGTCCTGCAGCTCCCACTGGGGCTTGGCACTCCCGAGCCCTAAATACAGATCTAGGAGCTGACCTACATGTTCCCAGGCCTGGAGCAAGGCTGCAGCTCCTGGGCTCTTGAGCTACACTGGATCAAACCAGGCTGGCCCTCCTCCATGCAGGTGCAGTGTCTGGTTTGCCCCCCTCAGGCTGCACAAGTAGCTTAATAGAGAGCAGATTCAAAACAAACAAAAGGAAGTTTTTCTTCCTGCAATGCACAGTCAACCTGTGGAACTCCTTGCCAGAGGATGTTGTGAAGACCAGGACTTTAGCATGGTTCAAAACAGAACTAGATACACTCATGGAGGTTAGGTCCATCAATGGCTATTAGCCAGAATGGGCAGGGATGGTGTTCTTAGCCTCTGTTTGCCAGAGGCTGGGAGTGGGCGACGGGAGGGGTCACTTGATGACTCCCTTGTTCTGTTTATTCCCTCTGGGGCTGGCCACTGTGGGCAGAGAGGACACTGGGCTGGATGGACTTTGGTCTGACCCTGTCTGGCTGCTCTTATGTTAAGAAGTCCAGGCCATCCCACCTGCATGGCTGCTGCTCACAGTAGTTCATCGGGACCCTGCGCTGGGGCCTGGCTTTGCCCCCCTGCGCCCAGGCGAGAGCAGCCCCACCTCCCCGGGCGCTGGCCATAGTTGGACCTTGTGTGCCTTCTCTCCATAGGCCCTAGCTTGAAGACGCTGTGTAAGCTGGCAGTGATTCAGCACAGCCTGGACCAGTCGTGCCTCCCACACGACATCAGGTAGGGGTGCTGCTCTGTCAGCCAGCCTCGGGCTCCTAGATCCAAGCCCGCCGTTTGGGGGAAGCTGGCCTGGGAGCCTCCCCCAGTGGTGTCTGCAACCTGGACAGTAGCACTGTTGGGAGGGCTCTGGCAAGGTGTCACAATCTGATGGGGGCTGGGTACTCAGTGCCCTCGGATCCTTGGGCCACATTCCCACCCCTTGGCTTGCCAACTATGCTCCCGATGGGGGTTCTTTGGAGCCCCCCCGTCCAGCAGCTTGCACACAAACCCACGAACACCCCTCGCACGCGAGATGTGATCCCCAGCTGGTCACATTTGGGGCCCTTCCATCTACACACAGGTAGAGTGGGGCTTGGGGGCCTCTTAGCTCTGCTGGAGGAAACTGCCTTGCTACCTGCAGGCCAACAGTGCAGCTGTCTTGGGTCTCTTGCTATTGTATGTATCTGCTTCTGCTCCACCAGGGCCAAACCAAGGGGGGCAGGCAGTGCCCAGGACGCTGGCCTGGTGCGGGGAGAGGCTGGCACCTGCAGGGGAAGCTGGAAACCTTTGTCTGTCTCTTTCTAAGGCCTCTGTTGTTTTTTGCAGATGGGAGCTTACAGCAATGACGACAAACAGCAACATCAGCCGCCCAATCCTTTCCTCCCACGGATAATCCTGCCGCCCGGTCCCCCTCTGTCCGTCCTTGCCCTCTGCCCTGCCTTGCAGACTGAGCTGCCATCTCAATGTCTGTGCATGGATTTTTAGCCTCTCCAGAGAAGGGCTCCACGTTCTCCCCCAAAAGGATCTGTTGTTCTTGGCATCTGCCTCCTTGGGCCCTCACCATCCGGCTCTGACCTTTTGTCCCTGGCAGGGCCTGGCACAGGTCTGTGTGGCACCTTGGAGGAAGAAGCCAATTGTTCCTGCGCTCATTCCTGGCAACAGCAGCCTGTGTGTCTAGCTCACCCCCCGTGCAGCCCCGCCGGACTGACATGCTCAATGCTCGCTGCTGCAGGGGCAGCGTGTGCTTTGCCTCCCCAGGATCACTAGCTGGAGCAGTACAAACTCTGCATGGCTCTACTGTCCTCTTTGCCCTGCCACTCGGAGCCCCGTGACTGAACTGTTTCTAGGCCAGCTTCTCCTGCTTAACCCTCGACAGCCCCTGCTGCTGTGTGGGCCTGGCCCTGCACACTCCCAAACGTGGCAGGCTCCATCCTTCCCAGGGAGACACCTGGGACCTACAGCTGCGTGTCGAGCAGCGTCATGCGGTGGCTGGTGCCAGTGTCTCCGCTGGAGGAAGGGTGCTGAGCATGAAGATCCCCGCCACGCTGGGGCGTCTCTGCTTTTTCTATTTGCATACAAGACTGAGTGGAACAGACTGATCCGTGCCTGATGGGAGAGGAGCTGGCCCAGGGGCTGCAGAGCCACTGCCCAGCACCAGGTGTAAAACAGCTGCTTTGATTTCTATAAATATTTAAAACGGGCCCACCCTGCCTTGTCTGCTACGTCTGGGCCGAACCACTGCCTGAGGAGGGGACTGCAGAGGTGCAGGCCCTGGGCAGGGGAGGTAACTCCTTAGCTGGCCACAGTGTGAGAGAGGACCCTGTATGCCAGAGAATCTTGGTCTAAAGGCCTTTGAGGCCAGAGAACACTCTGCCTTAGAGAGGCTGCTGATCAGTGAAGAGTGTGTAAGGTGTTCAGGGGAGACTCGAAGAAGGAACTGGTCCCCATAGCCGGGGCTGGAGAGAAAGCCATCCCCTAGCGGTGAGGGGCAGAGAAGAGGTGGCCGAGGGAGATGTGGGCTTTCAAGCGATTTTGCACTGTCTCCTGCTGTGTTGGGGGGCTGAGGGGGAGGCTTTGATGACAGGAGGGCTGCTTCTGTGTGTACATGAGAAGGCGCAGGTAGCAGCCACAGCATCCTGGGGTCTTAGGCTGCCCTAGAGAAAGTAGGTGTCACAGGGAAGGCAGGAGGGTAGCAGCAGAGGTGGGTGAGGCCATGGCTCACAGGGGCTGTGTTGGGGACGAGACGTCTGTGGACTCAGGAGAAGGATGAAGAAAATGTCCGTGATCAAGACGGGCTGGCCATGGCTCCCCGAAGGGAGTCACTGTGCTGGGTGTGGAGACTGAACTGGGGGGGTCTGGCTGAGGTCACAAGCTGACAGGGTCGCCACGGGCAGTGGGGCCAGGGAGGAGTCCCTGGGGGTGCTGCTGATGCTAGCAGCACGTGAGTGAAAGTGGGGGTGGCGGTTACGAGGGAGGAGAAGCTGCTCTTCCTACTTCTGTCACTGCACTGAAGCCTTACGGAAACGAAAACGTGAAGGAGAAAGCTGCCTTGAGGGTGCCTCAGGGACCTGTGAGCGACAGAAGGAAGCAGTCCCGTTAGCTGGGCTGGAGAGGTTGGGCTGCAGCCGGGAAGGCAGTGCAGCAGCAGCCTGGCTGAGATTTCCAGCTCTCGGGGGAGGATCTGTCCAGGAGACTGGCTCATGGCATTTCTTCCTGCAGAGCACCCTGGCTCCACGGCAGCTCTCATCTGGGAGGGAGCACACTGTGGGGAAAGGGCTGCTGCTGGGCTTGGAGGCATGATTGGGCGGCTCAGCGAGGCTCCTCTCTGTTCTCCATCACTTGCTGGTTTTAAATGGTGAGGTGAGGTCTGGCAGCAAGTCTCACCCAGACTCAAGCACATGCTAGTGGGCTTGTGGCAGGTGTCACTGGCAGGGTTTCTGGCCGTCAGATTGCCTGCGTGATACACAAGATCCTAGAGATTCTCTTCTGGTCCTGAAACCTATAACGGCCCTGTCAGGCCACGTGTGAACGAAGCTGGGTGCTGGAGCCCAGCTGCTGGTATAAGGACAGGGCTGGGCCAGGCGCTCTGCAGGATGAAATGCCGTGAGCCAGCCGTTCCCCCTCACGGAGACACGGCTCCCTGACCCAGCTGGCTTTAATGCTGGGCAGATTTGGGGTAGGGCGAGGATAGTGGTGGGGAGCAGGATGCAGGACTAAAGCAACTGACTACAAGCCGGGTGGGAAGTAGAGGGTTGGCGTAGATGATGAATTCTCTATGGCACAGAAGGGGAGGGTGGAGCCTGGTGTCTCAAAGCATCTTGCCCAACCAGTGAAATACAGGGTGGTGTGGTGGGAACGCTTGGGGGGGGGGCTCTCCTTTCTCCTGTTCACTTTGTTTCCTCTCTCATCTGCTCTCTGGCCAGTTTGCTGCTCCTCTGCAGGTGCATTCTGCATCTGCCCATACAGTCAGCTGGAGTCACGGGTGTGGTGGAGTCTCCGGCACGAGGGCTAGCTGGCTGCAGCCTGGTGTTGCAGCTGCTGCCAGATGCACTGGGGCTGTGTGGTCTGGGAGTGAGGCAGGGAGGCTGGCTTTCCAGCAGATGTGACACGCAGTGGGGCTGTGCTGAGTCACCTGAGGGCCCTAGATGCCAAGGAGAGGGAGGAACTGGTCAGGGGAGGGGGTGTAACTAGGAACGATGTCACAGAAGAGCAGGCATCCTTTAAACTTGACATAGACTTGCTGCTAGTGAGCTGTGAAATCAACCGCAGGAAAGGAGGGACCCCTTGCAGGAGACCCTAACATTAAGCTGCCTGACTGCACTGAGCCGTAACACTTACATGGTCGGAGCAACCCGGCTCTGCCCCCACTGTTCCCCTTTAATGCCTGCTCCAAGTAGTGTGAGCTGGGAGCAGAGCACTAACAGCTCTGTTCCTGGATGCCAGGGCTGGAATACCACAGGGCTGGACTTCCTGTTTTGGTCTCCAGAATGTTTCCATTTTAAACAGAAGTTTCTGGCCCTGTCAGTTGCAGAGACGCTCCCGAGGGACCGGAGCTGGAACCACAGCCGAGCGGTCTGCCTGAGGCTGCCGGGAGCCTGAGCCGGCAGCTGGGAGAGGGGTTCCCCGCCCCTTGCATTTCATGGGGTCCCCATCCCCCCGCCCTGCCAGAACCTGCCTGCACCCATTCCCCAGCTCCTCCTTGAGGAGTCAACTGAGTTCCAGCACGTGCTCCAGGTGCTGCTCCCTGGGGCAAGGGAGCCAGACCAGGGGGCTGGCTTGAAGCCAGGGCACAGGGCAGCCCAGAGGTAGGGCTGCCTGGAGAAGAGCGCAGCAAATGTGCACAGCTGGGGAGATGAGCCTGTGGAACTGGCCCGATGGTTGCTCTTCTGGGCGCTGCGGGGAAGGAGGCTCAGAGCCAAGTGCCTCAAACAGTGGGACAGGGCTGGGGAGGGGAGCTGGTCACCTCTAGTGCCCAGGGAAACCTCCCCCCAGCTGGCATTGCAGGAATGGCGATTTTAAGTGGGGTAGCTCATGGCAATAGCTAATTGCTGTGGAATTTGGGTTCACTGTACCGGTGTGTGTGAGAGCCCCGCCATCAGCCTTCCTGGACTCCCCCTCTTGCAGGCCCATTTTCCTTCCCCCACCTGGCTCCATTTCACCCCCCAGCTTGCTCCAGAGATGACTCCAGGTAATAGATCTCTAAGCTATGGTGGGTGCCATGGCAACAGGCACTTCAAAAATGCCAGCACCAGACTGGCCTAAAACCAGCGGTTAGTGCTGGCTTCCGAAGGGGCCCGTGGGCTAAGGCCCAGTGAATGTCGGTGCTTCCCAACTGCACTGACCAGCTCTCCCCCACTCAGTACAGTAAGGCTGGTTTGGGACAGGCATGGGAGGCCGAGGGACAATCCAGGGGATGGGGCCTCCAAGACGCCTGAAGCCAGGGCCCCAGAAGGGGCAGGGGTGCTGTCTTTCCTATGCAATACAAAGCTGAGACCCTGCACGCACCTAGTGAGAAATGAGGCCCTGACACTGACGGCAGCGTTAGCTTGGGTGTCCTGGCCAGATTACTGCTCAAGTCCTTCCTCTTGCCGTGACAACTGACACTGCGTGTCCGACACGCTGGCATGGTGCTGCTGCGTCCTGCTAGCGAGGTGGCCACGCGCGAGGTGGGCAGGCCCAGCCTCGCAATTACGTGATCAAGAGCTGTGGGAGGACTGGGGCTGGCAACGGTGCCGGCAATTACCGTCTTTAACCTGCTCTGATCAACGTCATCTCTTAGGCTCCGGTGCCCCTTCTCTGCAGGCGGGGATGGACTGTCGGGCTCCATCGCTAACTCGAATCTCCCACGGGGCTGGACTATGGGTCCGGGCCCTTTGCAAGCATCCTGCAGGGGCAGGGCTGAGTGTGGGCAGGAGGCCGGGGAGCCATGTGCCGAACATTCATCCCCTTCGTTCTCTGCCCCAAACTGGTCTGGAGTGGTGCCTTCACGTGTCGCTTTCTGCTAGCACCGGCCACTGGGTGCCCTGGGGCCTGATTCTTCTGCCTCCTGCGGTGTCCCAGAGCAAAGCTGGCATTAGGCAGCCAAGGCTCCGGCAACATTTCCGAGCTGTTTGGGCAGCTGTTGCTCAGGGTGACTGCTGTGGGGCGGGGAGGGGGACAGTTGGTATCAGTGGGCAGATGGTGACTGCCACCCCCCAATGGCAGTAGGGGCCAGCAGGAGGGCCTCCCCCCCTCACAGATGCCAATTCTCCAGCAGGGAAGATGCAGCTGCTGCTGGTTCCCTGGGGGGAGCCACTGAGAAAATCTATCCACACAGGGAGAAAGGGGCCAGCCTGGCACTGCAGACCAGGCTACCCGACGCTGGGAACAGCAAGACACAGACGGATTAAACCCCATGCAGGAGGCAGCAGCTGGCAGGGCCGGGTCTGCTCCCACAGTGACCCCCAGGCTTACTGTGTAGCTCACATTTTGCAGAAAGCCCACATTTTCTGGGGTGCCAGCGAAGTGTGTTGGGCTGCATTTTCACTGGCCCTTCCATAGGGTGTATCCAGCTGAGGGAGATGACTGGGCAGACAGCCCCCCAGGTTTGTTTAAAAGAGCCAGATTTCCTTTTATTACTTCCCCTATCAGATTGCAGCCAGGCTGTGGAGGGTTATTTTTAGAAGCCTGCTTTCTAAAAATAGCCCAGAGCTGTTTAGAATTGCGTCACAAGAGGTAATTTTATCCTCTGTGGCCTGGCTCGGGCCCCCATTCGCCCCAGGAGGGGGGCTACAAAAGGAGGGTCAGTGCAGGAGGGGGTCAGCGGGTTCAGACTGAGCCAGAGGGGAAGGAGGTAAGAGGGGCTTTGCCAGACTCGGCCATCCCATGAGTAGGGCTCTGAATCCCAGTTCAGTGTGCCAAGGCTCTGCCTCGCCGCATCCCATGGGACCGGGCCAGTCTAGGCCTCCCTCTCCACCCAGTGGGGAGCTGGTGTGTCAGTGACGCCCTGAGAGCAGAACCCACTCTGGGGCAGCTTCCATGGGGGTGTCTCCTGCTGTTAGACCCTTCCATGCCCTCCGAGAAATGGCGGCTCCTTTGCCCCAACAGCATCACCTCCGTGGCTCTCCCCAGTCCTGTTTTCCAGAGGGATCAGGTTGCTCCCCAGCCCTGCCCCTCTGATGTGACCATGTCTTCATGCAGACCAGGACTATGACCGTCTTCT